ATATATATATATTTATATATATATTAAATTCTCTGTGGTTAGAAACATATTTAAACTAACTAGCCACAGACCAAACTAGACTTGCATTCATCCAATGCTGGAATTTTATGCTAAAGACTGAGGTCCTTCTTCTTGGTCAGAAGTAGGCGGCAGTAAAAGTGGTGCCTTGTTGCTCCACTAACCGCTCCCTGGGTGGGTCTTCCCCGTATCATGTGTTGTGAGCACATGAAAACCCCTGTTTTTAAGGAAAGGACTGCCTGGGACTTTGGAGTCCACCCAGGGCTCACATGTGCCTCAGGGTGGGAGAAAGCTATAGATGATAGAACAGCCTGGTATAGAAGCAGTCAGATTTTACAAAGGGGAGTATAAATAGGAAAAGTCCTAGAGGAGGGACTTAGGCATGTGCCCCAAAGTCCAGTTTACAGTCACTTTCCTGACAAAACATCTTGAAAACCATGTGTGTATGTATGTGTGCGTGTATATGCTGGTGGTTTTTATCCCTACCTTTTTGCCCATGCCCTTTCCTACCTCTTAGTAAGGCCTAACAACAAGAGTTTTATATGAAACCAAGAGTCTTTCCAAGCTTCTCTCAGCCCCCTAATTAGGGACTGAGTGAGGCTGGAGCCCTTTGAAAACAAGATGGCAGAACTGAAGAAGTGAAAAGCAGTCTCTCTCTTCAGCTTAGAGATGTCCCTCACCCCTTTCACAGCACCAAAGTTTCTTTGCAAAAATAGTATCTGAGATACAAAAGGAAAGGCAGATGTGCTTGTGAATGCATCTCGCCAGGGCCTGGTCCAGGATCAAGGGCTTTACAAGAACAGAAGGTTGGGAGCAGCTGTTTCCAAGGTCTCTGGCTGTAGACAACAAAGAGCTGGTCCCCCACAATGTCAATGTCTGCTAAAAGAGACGGTCTTCACAAGAGCTTTCGGTGGAGGATCTCCCAGACCATCCGCTTCCGGAAGTATGGCATGTGTTGCTGTAAGGACACAGAGACACCCTTCACTTTCATTTCTTTAATCCCAACCCAACACTCCTTTCCCCATGTTCCTGTCCTCCTTGAGGCTTTCAACTAAAACAGTCTCAGATGCATTTCTGGTCTTTCAAATTTCTCGTTCTTGATTATGTGACTTTTTTCCTTTCCATTGCTTTTTTCTATTGCTATCTCTACTGCTATTTTCCATTGCTGTGGCCTTAGAAGTTTTATTGAGCATTGCCAGGCATCCCTAGGCTATACCTAAATGTCTCCAAGAATTTTAGAATAATGTCTATCAAGTCCTCTACATTGAAATCTTAAAAAAGGATGTAAGATCTGAGGCCTGAAAAATCTAAAAAGTCACTTTTTAGAGGAAGAGTCATAGGAACTGCAAGAGTCAGTTTCACCCAAGGGTTGTGGTGGAAAAATCCAGTAAAGCCATTAATTCAAACAGAAGTAAAGAGTTAGTGTAGGTTAGCAAAAGTTGAGTGCTGACCAAGTAAAGGGAAACTGAGGAAAATGTACTCTGGTCTCAGTTCTCCATTTTTTACAAGATTTGAGGTAGGTGGGGGAGACGGCAGAGAAGGCTCTGCTATTAACCAGGATTCCTTGACTTCAATATGTGATATATGGGAACCCGGGGTGTGGCCTATTATTACCCTTCTTTTTCTTGTGATGTGGCAGGCAGCAACCACCAGTGTTATAAGCTACAGGCTGAGGCAGAGCCCCCTACGCAGACCAAGTGGAGAGAAAAACACCTATCGGGCACCTGGAGACAGAGTAGATACAGAACTCCCTCCCTCCTGAAGCCCCAGCTCACTTGTGTGAAGTTGATTGGTCTGTCTTTGGTAATGCAGTCAGCATATTTGCACGCAAACATCCCACAATCACTTCCATTCATCTGCTGTGGAATTTCCTGAAAGACCAAAAACAATGAAAAGGTTAACACTTTCCAAGATTCCTTCCTTCTTATTAGACTATAAGTAAGAACCAAAGCATAAAAACTTTACAGGTTTCCCTGAATTTTAAAGAGATGACCCTTGTTCCCCACTCAGAACAACACAGGCTCAGAGAAAAAATACAGCATCTCAGGACAGTGGACTTCATATTAACCACACAGGAAACTATCAGACTTCCACAGCACCTAAGGGTATAAAAACTGGTCCCTCCCACTAGGGCCAAACAATCAGCAAACATGTCCCACAGGAATGAAAAGCTTAGCAAAACAGCTAGGCATCTGGAAAACCTAGTTCTACATAAGAAACACATTACCAGTTTTCCCACAAATAGCTTCCTCTATCTTCCCCCCCAAGGAACCAAACGACCAAACTGAAGTCAGGTGAGACACTAAGATAGGCCCTTGGGAATGAAGCAGTAAATCCTTTCCTTCCCAACCACCCTGATGTCAGGAATTTTTATCTCATCATGATAAAATGTACCTGGCTTTTCTTGCTGAAGAGCTGCCAGCCATTGGTGTCAAACTCTTTCCTTTTCTTGTCAATGCTCTCTTGCTTTAGGTATTGCCTAAAGGTATTGAAAGAGAATGAAGTGAGATGTGGAGAATGACCGCTGCCACCCAAAGAATGGAGCTGACAATCCTTAGAAAGAGTTTTCATACAGCTTCTGAGGAAAACAGTATATAATGCTGGGCAGGGCATCTTTAGACTGCACCTCCTTTGGAGCTCCCACAATTCATGCCCACCCTGTCAACCCAAGAGAAACATATGACCTGTGCCTCCGATATCCAGGTTCCTTCTACCTGCTGTTCCCCCTGAGGAACAAGTTTTGCTTCTGTTCCTTGGTTTATGTGGTCCTTTAGAACTCAATCTAATGGAAGAAGAATGTTTCTCTGGCAATATCGAACTTGAGTCTCCCAAGCAAAAATTCAATCCAAACCAACAATCTGCTGGGCGTAACCCTCATACAGAGCGCTCTTCCTAAGTGCAAACTGCTCACCAATCTGGAACCTGCCTACCAGAGTGGTACAGTGAGGAATAAGCACTTTAGAAAGAGAGACAGATGGGGTATAAAGAGATTTGCATTCTGGTTCCCAGTTAAGCTACTAACTAGTAGGACCCAAGCAAATAAAAATTACTCTGTGGGTTTGGTATCTTCATTTGAAAAATTAGGAGGTTGGATTAGATGATTTCTAAGTAGTTTCTATATGTATATACCCACTCTATATTTTAGTGCACTAGGACAATAATTATCTCCATTAGGGCATATATTTGGTATTAGTACATTATTAAACTTTACTTAGATGTAAAATACCTATTCTTACTTAATAAGAGAATTTCCTTTATTAATCAGTCCACTGAATGTATTAAAAAACTGAGTTCAACAGCTGAAAAGCACAAAATACACAGACACGACTCTTTTGTACTCAACTCCTTACTTACAAAAGGATCCTGCAGGCTTCATTGTTTATACCACCCATAGAATCATAATAGGTAATATTCTTCTTTCTGAAGTCCACAACCTGGGAATAAAAAAAACCTGTGTTTATAAAGTGAAGAAAGCCCGTTTCTCAGCTTTTCTCTTCCCTGGAACTCGGAACCTTTTGCTAGATTTCCTGTGAAATCATAACAAGTATGACTGACAGTGTGCATCACACCATGCTTAATCTGTAGAAGACAGAACATAGAACTACCATGGGGGCTGATCAACTGGTGGCCCCATTAATTGCCCTAAAACCTTTTTCTGTATTCAGGGTCCCATCTACAAAGTGGGCAACAGTGAAGAACATGTTCTTCAGAGAATGTAAATTGACTGAGATCATTTCCACAATTTCAGAAAGATGGTAGCAGATTGTGGATGTTGTTTCTTTACCCGGAGAATTTCCTTTGGCTTTATGCTTTTCAAATGTAATTCAAAACAGATCGTGAAATAACTCTTGTATTTTCATTAATACACTAAGCCATGTTCTCAGAGTCATAAAAAATTACCAAGTATGCAAGGCAAGTCTTGATTAGGCAGAAAATAATAGTCACAGGATCTGATTTGGCAGCATCATCAAGAAGTCACTTTTTACACAAGTTTTGATAAATTGAGCTAAAGTTTTATTTTGATTCTCCTGCCTTGCAGTTTATTGATGTCCTTAAAAAGAATTCTAAAATTGTCAAGCATGATCTAAGTAGAAGTGAAGGAAATAAAAGGATTAAACTTGAAAAAAAAGTCCTCTGTAGGACTCCCTCTACAGGAAGGAATTGTTCTTGTTTAGGAAACTACCTTGAAGACACATGCAGGTTTTAAAAGACAAGGCAGAGCCTGAAAAGACAGATGCAGTGGAGGAATTACTGAATTGCTCTGCATAATAAAGAGGATGGGAGTGGAAACATTTAAAAAGTCACTTTTTCTCCCCATGCTTTGCCTTGAGGCTGCTTAGACTTATATAACTCCTTTTTAAATATTTCCAGAAAAGGAAATTCCACAGCTTTCCTCAAAGTCTAAGCATCTCTCACTCTTGACAGAAAGTTCATTAATCTACCCAATTCTTAGCCAACTAAATACTACTCTTCTCTCAATCATCCAGTGAAGACACGGAACTAATACTCACTACTCTCTGTGTATTCTATAATTACATAAATTTCTTTTAAATTTTACCAAAAACAAATGGGTACTCACAGCAAGACACCAGTGCACTCCCAGGTGAATGGGCACCAAAAGAATATCAACGGAAAATACATCCACTTTCTTTGTCCAGCGCTTCACCGCCTGATAACCAGCCGTTTTTAACTTAGTGAAAAAAAAGGTATTAAATGCATGTACACTTGGCAATCCCTTCTCTTTACTTCGCTCCATCAGCATATTCATGTAGAAATTGATGATCTGTGGGAAGACATTACATGTATTAAAATAGATACCCAGGCCTTTCATAATATGAAGGAAATGTGTTATATGAAGGAAATGCAGTTGCTGTATTATTATATAGCATATGCTACTGTTTCCTCATCAATTCAAGTAAAATTTTAACACTCAACAGCCTCATGGCCCTATATTGAATTCTAACTAGAAGAGAAGCTATAAACAGTAAACAAAAAGCTGAGACTATATATATAATGGGGTTGGGGATACATATGAGCAGATGCTGGCCAGATGACTGAGGATTAGGTCAAAAGACTGCAGAATGAAAAGGCAGGGATATTTTAAGGCAAGACTTAGAAAAAAAGAAAAGAGGACGAGCAGTTTAAATAAAACACATTAGCAGTTATTGGGACTGTGTGAGCAATTTAAATAAATCCTGAGCTTAAGTAGAGTGTAGTGTTAACAAGGCTAAGACTAAGAGTTCAGTTCTCATACATGGGTCACCTGTTTTTACACAAAGATAGAAAACTTTGCTTCACTGCTAACGACTGTCTTTTAGCCTTTAAGCTATCTTGCAGAGGCAAATTGTTTTGGTTTCAAGTAGACCTGAGTGACAAGATAAATGAGCAATTATACTGGACAAAACACCTATAAAACGACACTAGCTCAGCAATGTCACCTTTTATAGAGGCACACCTGAATGTAGTATAAAAACCAATATAACATGAGACCTGAAAGTAAAGTCACACACATAAGAGTAAAGTTCTCCCCAGAATCTAAATGGTTTTCTCATTTTTGTTGATTCCATTTATGCTTTCAATGTCAAGTATGAGTGAAAGAAATTAAAATGCTTGATGTAGGAAATATATGACTCTTTCTGTTAAAGAAACAATGCGTTCTCTAATAGTGACCATGTTGTCTATGGTTCCTTGAGATCCAGGATGCCTTGGTACTAAGCTTGAAAGTTACTGGGACGGAAGTTACTGCATACTTACTTTATGTGGTCAGATGAGGCCAGGCCAGTGTCTGTCAACTGCAAGGAATGAATGGGCTAACTGATCCACAGCTTGGAAACATGACTAAGAAAACAGGCATATTTTTCAGAATGCTTTTTGGGGAATGGGAAAATGCCCCCGTCCTTTGACAAATATTTACACATTAGGATGCCAGAGCAATGAGCTACTGCCCAACAGTAGGCAACTACATACCGGACAGGCAGCAGGGACCACTGCCAGGAACACACCAGAGCATGGTCTAGACTAGAGAAAGGGCCTATAGATGAGGATGCCTAGGCAGTTGCAGGGAAACCACACTTGCTATGAGGCAGAACTGAGAGGAGGGAGAAAGGGGAATGGCTAGGATTGAAGAGAGACACTGTTCTGCCTGCATCTCTGAAGACTGAGCAATAGGCCCAGCAGGCCCAGAGGACTCAGGTTGTGGCTAATTCTCTGCCTAGTGTGATGACCAATAGATAATTGAAACGCAGTTATTTTAAATGATAATGAATCGAAATACAATTAGGATTATAGATTTCTCAATCTAGGTTCCCAATCTAACTCTGCCCCCAAGGACAATGGTGCTAATGATGCTTCTAGGAACGAAGGCAGCCGGGTATACAGGAGGGTCCACCCAGCAAACACAGATTTCTAGGCTATAAACTACATTATATAGTGAGAGAAAGTCAGCAAGAAGGGATTGTCCTGTGGCATTCTACCCATCCCACAATATTAACCATATTAGAAGGCTAAACCCTTCAATCCAAGGGGAGAAATGAATAGGCAGATGACCTGCCCATCACTGTAAGCCAAACCTTACATGGGGAAGACAGGTTATATATTTTAACAGGCAATAAGGACTCAAGGGAAAGGTGGAAGGAATCAGGCAGAGAGATAAGGACAGCCAAGCACATGAAAGCCATGGAGATATTTCTTTCCCAGGTGCCCATAAAAGTAATTATGACATTTGGGATAATTAACCTGAAGTAAAAAAGGATGACATAAATGAATGTCATGCTACATGTGCCTATCCTAATTTTTAGGAGGAAAGAGTTCTAGAGACCAATCAAGTTTAACTGGACTTACACTGCCTGAGTTGTTTTTGTTTTTGAAAGAGTGGACTAAAGACCACTAAAGAGAATGCTAAAGACCAACCCAGCTGACCAGAAAGAGAGACCTAGCAAACCTAACACTATCTGTTTCCTTTGAGAATCCCTCTTCCACTGTTTTAGTTCTGCCTCCAACCAACATTTCTCCACTGAGAGGGAAATAGCCTCCTCCAAAGTCAGCTTATTAATTAGCTCTTAGAAGTGATGTGGGTTCTTTTTCATTTCCCCTGTATCCCAGTAGGAGGGAGCATGGTGGCCTCAATGTTCCCTCCCATTAGCTGAGAATGTGTAATCTGACATCTGAGGCAGAATTTAGATTCAAGTTTCTCTCCTTGGTTTTTTAGCTCTTACTCTGTCCAAATGAGGAAAGTTGCCATAGTTCAGCCAAGACACAGTCATACCAAAAAAACAAGTCAGGAGTTAGAGAACAAAAAGAATCCTACATGTCATCTCACAGAGGAGGGCTGAAGATAAAGGAAAAAGAAATAAGAGAAGGGATAACAGTGCTTAAGATGAAAAAGAGGCAGTGACAGAGTATGTGCTTGTATTCTGTGAAGACAAGGGCCCCCTCCCTCCCATGGAGAGAGCCTTTCTGCACACAAGACTATTAGCTCCAGAAGATTCTGAATTCTCTTTGAAATAAGGGGCTAAAAGTAGCAAATCAGCCCTGCACCTCCTGTTTGTATTGCCAATATACCAGCAACTGAGGACAACGGCCAGTGTTAGTCCACTTGTCACTTTTTTGGGGGCCCATGTTTGCCTCTGCTTGTTTGCTGTGGCTCCTACTGCCTAAGGAGCTGCCCTTCCTGCTGCCTTCACAGCCTTGGTCATGAGCGCCTGCTTGTCTATGCAGTTCTGTTTGGGGGTGGGAGGTTGTTTATAGTGTCTTGTCCTTTGTGATTTTATTTGAAGAGCTGCCAGGCTGAAACTGAAAAAAAAACTTCTCTTTAAAAGAAAAGCCTACAATGTTTTCAAACTAAGGACTCATTTTTCCTGTATGTTACCACAATGACATAAATGGCCACTGCTATTTGTATCTTCTTTCTTGCCCAGTAAACCAGCCAAACTATTGTTTTCTCATGTATTTAGAAGTAAAACATCTCACTAACAATAAAATCTTGACTTCTCTTTCCAATTTTGCATTCTGAACCCTTCAAATTGGCTTAGGAAAAAAAATGTTCTAAAAGTCCTGGGCATGGCAGTGCTCCTGAGCAGAGACCAAGACAACTTTTAGGGGAAACAAAGTTGTTTTTCCTACTTTACCTCTCTAGATTTTTCACTTTGATCTTCCATTCTGATTTTTAAATTAAACCTATCCTAGCCAACCACAAAGCCCAAAAGACTAACCATGCTGCAGCACCTGAATATTATGAGTCAGAAGGTCATTCACTCCTAAGATTTAACCTAGTAATATTATCGCATCCCTCACTGTGATCATGTACCAAAAACTTTTCTCACATGCAAATTTAAGCAACAAAGTATTAGAATTACTGCTAAAGTTTTAGAGAAAGACAGGCAGGCAACACCTATTTTTATGGAGTCATGGTAACTGTAATTACGATTCTCCGTGTTATCCCACATAAATTCCTAGTTGATTAAAAGGACTAGTTCTATTAAGAAACACTTTAAAGAAGTAAACTATAATGATATGGAATCTACCAATGACTCGCATTAGAAACACTAAAACTTCCATTCTGATCATTTTATTCCCCATGTAAGAGGGCACAGCATCTGGTAGACCCATCAGATTCCCTTAACTAATTTATCTAATTTTGCCTAGTTTCTCCCCTTCTTATGCAATCAGTTTTTATTCCCTGGGGAAAATTTATTCCCTGTGCTAGGTTTGTTGAGTTGGACTTAATGTTTTGCAAGATAATTCCTCTCTTTACTGAGCATCACTTAAATTTAACTCTTCTTGGAAACAATTAGAAAGCTATAAAAACTACCAATTCCCCATTTCCATAGAAGACTTGTGTTCTGAAAGTCAGAATGCTAGACAAGAGTTATGTGCTCTGATTCTAGACCCTGATTCTGCAATAAAAATCAGGTGACCTTAATAATAAATACATCCCTTATAAAGTCTTTTTACTTCTCCACTATCAATCAAGGAAGAATACATTCTTTATATACAAAGCTACTGTGATGTCGAATAGCTAAGATATCTCTTTCCTTTCAGAGGTGAGACTTAACAAAATAGGCAAATAGTCTGCCTGGTTAGCGCTATCATTCATGTAGTTACAGTTCGCTACGTAGAGTCTACCTTAATTGCTCCTGCACTCCATCACTCCCCGTATTTGTTACAAGTCTTTTCCTCATGGCCTTTCCCCAGCCTCTAAAGTTAGAAATACAGTACTGCAACAGTCAAATGCTTTTGCATTTTGGAAACAACCTCTACATGCTACAAACCCCACAGTACCTTGTTTTGTTTCTCCTTTAACTAATCAATTGTCTTTCAGAGATATTAAAACATAAGAGCATTTCCACTGTTCTTCATTCCTTGTGTAGGCTGAAATTTCCACCTCATGTTTTCCTTCTGCCTAAAAAACATTCTTAAATATTTCTTATAGTACCAGTCTGCTGGTGATGAATTCTCTCAGCATCTGTTTGTCTAAAAAAGGATAGCCTTTGCCCAGGCTGGTGTGGATCAGTTGGTTGGAGCATTGTCCCATACACTGAAAGGTTGGCGGGTTTGATTGCAGGTCAGGGCATATACCTAAGTTGTGGGTTTGATCCCCGGCGGGAGGCAACTGATAGATTTTCTCTCTCATGTCAATGTTTCTCTCTCTCTCTCTCTCCCTTCCACTCTCTCAAATAATTAAATAATAATTTATTTATTTTTTAAAGTATAGCCTTCTTTTTGAAAGATATATTTGCTGGATATAGAATCTAGGTTGCCAAGTTTTGTTTTTTCCTTCAGTACTTTAAAGATATAACTACATTGTCTTCTGGCCTACATGGTTTCTGAAAGATCCCAGTTCCTCTGTATATAATGTGTCTCTTTTCCTCTAGTTGCCTTTATTATTTTTTTCTTTATCACCAGTTTTCAGCAATTTGATTATATATTTTAGTGTGGTGTTTCTTCTACTTGGGGCACGCTGAATTGAATCTGTCGCTGTACATTTTCAAATTGGAAAATCTTCCACCAATGTTTCTTAATTTGTGTGACACCACTTACACTCCACCTTTCCCTCTGGAACTCAAATTACATGCTTAGACTGCTTGATATTGTCCCACACCTCACTGATGCTCTAGTTATCTTTCTTCAGCCTTGTTTCTGTGTTTCATGTGGATGGTTCCTTTGCTCTACCTTCTTTTTTTTTCTTCTTCTGCAGTTAATCTACTGTTAATTCCATCTCATGTATGTTTTAATTCAGATACTGTATTTTTCATCTCTACGAATTCAATTTCTGTCTTTTTTTTATATATCTTCCATTTCTCTTCTCATAATGTGTGTTTTCCTTTACCTTCCTGAACATATGGAATATGTTGATAATATCTGTTTTGGTATTCTTGTGTGTTAATTCTATCATTTTTTTTGTCATTTCTGGGTATTTCTAGTGATTGTTTCCCTTGCTATTAAGTTTAATTTTCCTTCTACTTTGCATGTCTGTTAATTTTTGATTGGATGCTAGATACTGTAAATTTCATATTGTTGGGCTTTGTTACTAAAATTTATTGTATTCCTTTTAATATTGTTGGGCTTTGTTCTGTGATTTAGTTAAGTTACTTGGAAGTTTCAATCTTTTAAGACTTGTATTTAAGCTTTGTTACCATGGGTCCAGAGCAGCCTTTATTCTAGGGTCAGTTTGGCCCCAATCTTAAGGCTATAATACCCTTTTGAGGACTTTAGTCAATCAATGCCCCATGACTTTTCCATTATGGCTGGCTGGAACATGAACTATTCTTGGCACCTGTGTTAGCTCTGAGGCTTGCTCTGATTCCCTCCTTCCTGGCAGTTCCCAGCCTCTGGAAGTTTCTTCCCAAATATATACAGGTGGGTACTCAACCAAAGATTCAAGGAGGGGGCTCTGCACATTTCTGGAACTTTCTTTTTTACAGTAACCTCCCCTCCAGTATTTGACCTCACAAATCTTAGCCACTTTGGCCTTCCCAAACTCTGAACTTTGTCTCCTCCTCTCAGCAAAATTGTCAGGCACTACTAGGTTCTACCAGCCCTCCGCCCTCAACACACCACCCCAGTAAGCTGGGGAAATCATTACCCTTCTCTCAGGGATCACTGTTATCCAATGTCCAAAAATTGCTGTTTCATGTTTTGTCTAGTTTTCCAGGTAGTTCAAAGGGGTAAATCTAATCCATTTAATTCCATCATGACCAGAAGCAGAAGTCAGATCCATTTACTTGTATGCCTAAATAATTTCCATGTATTTCTAAGTTTATCTGATGCCTTTTAAAACAACTCCTAGACCCTCTAAGCAGCACAATTATCAAGCCATAAAGAGAAACACAAAGCCCAAAGCAGTCCTCTCCTCAGGATCATTAATCTAGAATCAGAGTTGGGTTCCAGAAGTTATCCAATTCAATCTCCAGAAATCAATAAATAATTTCCATTATTGATATCCATTTAAAAATATTTTCATTTGTTTCTTAATTGTGACTTTCAATCTACTTTCACAACTAATTCCTCCTCTTTAACCCTGTCCTCCTTCCCTTAATTAGATATTTCTATTAATAACTCATCAGCAGACCAAGTATAGAAACCCCATCTACAATGTCTCTGATATTACCAGCCTTCCTTTTGTATTCTTTACAAGGCAGCCAGTTCCCACATTCCATTTTTGAGAAGTTTCATTTTCTTAGTAGTAAGGTATAATGTCAACTCTATCAATCACTAGTCCTAAGGGCAGCCTAATGGTTTTCTGTACATATCCCAAATATGAAACTTCTGAATTTTATTTTCCTTATAAACTAAATCTGATCCATTTCACTTCTAGGATCTTATATTCCTTGTCTAAAAAATGGTAAAGCATAATCTGTCAATCACCTTATTTTGGAGAAAGTTTTAATGCAGCCTATAAAACTGACAGGAGAATTGAAAGGATGAGGAATGGTTATTAATGAAAATATCTATTTGAAGGAAGAAGAACAGGATTGAAGAGAGGACAAATTACTTGCAAAAGAAGATTCAGAGTTCACAACTGAGAAATAGAATTAAGTATTATTAAATGAATACAAATACTTAAGAAAACCTACTAATTCCCCATCAAAATGTTAGCTTCTAACAGGCAATAACTTTGAAAGCCTGAGAAGCGAGGTACTTTGAAAATGGTGCTTTTTAAAATGGTTCACATCATCATCATCATGGAAATGTGAATTGGCACCTGCTTTCACCGTTACCATTATTCTGAACTCAGGAGACAAGCACTCCCCACAAGTTAAGGGTAGGCTTGACAGAGATAAAGTGGACAAAGAATTTTTCCTTCCCCTCATCTCTTCTAAATAATGTAATTTCCATTAACTTTGCTTGCTAAAAATCCAGCCTCTGATGGGCCCAGGGAATGGAAAATATGTCCTGATGAATGCTGCCTCTGTAAGGGATCTCACTGAGGTAACCACCATAGTAAATAGCAAGAACTCGGCTAATAGCCTACTCATTGCTGCCCCCTAGAAGGTTTTGCATAATTTACAGCAAACAGACTACATTCCCGTAGAATAATTAACCCCTTCCCATTTAGCAGCGGCAGACAAAAATTGGCAAGAGACCACAGATTAATGTCTCCAAATCAAAAACACTTAATTGATGGATACTTTTGACTGTCCTTGATTTTCATTTTGTCCTTTGATTTAGTAAGCTCTTTTTCCCCCCTGTTACTTGATCCAATGTTCTAATATCATTATTATGTGCCAAGAGAAGCAAGGGTAGTATCCCCTAAAGCCGGGGTGGGGAATCTTTTTCCTGCAGAGGGCCATTTGGATATTTATAACATCATTCATCGGCCATACAAAATTATCAACTTAAAAATTAGCTATGAAAAGAATCTAGATTTATTGAATTTCGAGTTCCGCCTGTGTTACTTTGGCAGGGCCAGACCAAATGATTTCTCGGGGCCCACAGCCTGTGGGCCAGATGTTCCCCACCCCTGTCCTAAAGTAAGACAGTATCAAATCATACCTTCTTTACTATTCTTGGTCAAAGATATTATTCAGGGAGTGATGAAAATTTATTATCTTATAAATTCACCAGTGGCAAAGAGAACAGGGCTAGTCCAGCTGGCCCCAAACAAAAGCAACATGCTGGGCATGACATATAGCTCTCAAATTCCATACACCTAATCCTAAAACAGGATCCAATTTAAGATTCTGAAGCAGTATGATATAATGCATAAGACCCCATGCTTGGGTCTGAATCCTGGCTCTGCTACTTACTAGCCATTTAACCCTGCAAGTTTCTTAATCTTTCTATATATTGTTTCTTCATCTATAAAATAGAGATGATAAAATTATAGTATCTACGCCCGGCCAGGTGTGGCACAGAGGTTGAGCATCAACCTAGGATCCAGGAGATTGCGGTTGGATTCCCAGTCAGGGCACATGCCCAGGTTGCGGGGTTGATCACCAGTCGGGGGCATGCAGGGGGCAGCTGATCAATGACGACTCTCGCGCCATTGATGTTTCCACTCTCTTTCTCCCTCTCCCTTCCTCTCTCTGAAATCAATAAAGATATAATAATTAATTTATCTACCTCCAAGGGTTGTGGTGGCCGTTACATGAGCAGAAAACATAAAACACTTAGAACAGTGCCTAACATGAGGTAAATGCTCAATAGATGTTAGCCAGTATTATTATCTGGAAAGTCCTTCACATACAATACCAGAACATAAGTATCTAGACTAACTAGTGCTTTTTAGACTCAGTATCTTAGAATCCTCCATAGTTGTGAATCTTCAGTACACCCAAAAATATCGGGCAGGGATAGTACTAGTGAGCCGAAGAAATGAGACAGGTATTTAGGGGGAAAAAACATTTTTCTTCTTTTGTTGTGAAAATATTCTTCTGAAATAAACTCCTACAGGCATAGGAATAAGACAGATCAGCTTAAAGACTGTAGTGTAATCAATTTACTTAAAATAATTAAGACTCAAAAGTTGAGGGCAACTTTTTTTTACCCAATATATCAAATATTTAATAATATAAACGGATTCCTACATGTACAATATTCCTTCATGCTACAACATAGTCAGCTATTAAGTATTTTCTCTGATGATGTGAGCTGTAGGGTAGGTGCCTTAAAGACCGTAACAATACTAATGAGTGAATGTCCTCTCCCTCAATGTCCAAATTGTCAATACATAAAAAGGTAAACCAGCAGTTTTCAGACTTTAAAGTACGTAAAAATCACCTGAGATCTTTTTTTTTTAAATGCATATCTCTACCACACTGCTTCATACTTATTCAGGAGAACTGAGAAGCCTGTGACAGCTGATTCTGATACAGGTCATACAAGGACCACACTTTGAGAAACACTGAGATAATGCCTTGATTTAATTTCCACTAAATGTTGTTCACTTACTATTTGAACATAAAAACAGGTGCATGATTACCTCATCATTGAGCCAGTTCAGATGGTTTAGAGTTTGAATATCTTTGCGTGTAATGGTCAAGCGGAATGCTTCACTCAGAACTTCATCCTGGTTGCCGTTACGAAATACATTCTTTATTTCTTTCTCCATTTCCTAGAGAAGCAAGAGGTGTCAGAGATTAAGCAAACATGCCTTCAGACACACCAGATTTCTCACCAAGCCCTACACAATCCCCAAGCTATTTATCATTAGTCAGCTGTTTACTTCTAACATTCTGGTTTCTATTCCTTCCAGTAGTAATCTCCTGGTTACTTCCTTCTACCTTGCCTTGTCCTCCCTTCTCTTTTTCAGCACAACAGTTCAGACCCTCATTTCATATCATTCCTACCAAATTTTCTAAGTCTTCTATGAGAAGACCTAATTATATTTTTTATTTTTGGTCTAAACAGTTTCCTGAGAAATAGAATGTTTCCTAAAAGGTAGGAAAGCTAAGTAAAGGTAGTCTCTTTTAGATACATTTTCCTGGATTTTTTTTGTTTGTTCCTTTTTTAATGTAAAACATGGAATCCAATACAACTATAATACATGCGTTATACTCACCAGCTGTGTGAATTTTTCAAACAGAAGACTGAATTAAGGAAAAGATTACTTTAAAATGGACAGACTGTGTAATTTCCAAATTTTATACCAAGTTTTTATTACTTATAAAAATAAGCCTCAGCTTACTGCACATGAAATGAAACAAATTTATTAAATGGTTTTTCACTGAAGTTGCTAAAAGCTACCCATAATTCTTTCCTCAATGTTGAATAATCGTTTAAAAATAAAGCCGAGATTGGGCTGTACAAATGAAAGCAGGAGTATGCAATACAATTTTTACATTTAAAAAAATTTTATTTTTCAATTACAGTTTGCATTCGCTATTATTTTCTATTATTTTAAGGTGTACATCTTAGTGGTTGAACAATCATATACTTTATAAAGTGTTACTCTCAATATTTCCGGGATTCACCTGGCACCATACATAGTTATTTCAATATTCTCAACTACATTCCCTATCTGCATTTTACTATGACTGTTTTGTAACCACCAATTTGTACTTCTCAATACCTTCACTTTTTCCACACAGTCTCCCAACTCCCCTCCCCCCTCATCCAAAGCATTGTTNGACTGTTTTGTAACCACCAATTTGTACTTCTCAATACCTTCACCTTTTCCACACAGTCTCCCAACTCCCCTCCCCCCTCATCCAAAGCATTGTTTATAAACACAACACTTGCTAGTGCAAGAATTTATATTATGTAATTTACCTCTGTGATTTCGGGAAATTCATCTTCACTATCAGTTAATTTACGACCTTTTTTTTCTGTTTCTTGGGCAATTGTGACAGGGATCTCCTTTTCAAGAGGTACACGAAGATGCAGTTCTACTGAATCATGTATTGAATGTTCCTGTTCCTGCAGTCTCTGAAAGACAGTAGTTCAGGATAAGTGGGATAAAGAAATATGCATTATATCTCTATGTAAACTGAATAGTACCAGCTAGATAGACCAAGAACATCAACCACCTCTCACACAATACTATGGGATCATACTATCTTGTAATTTCAACAGCTCTGACCCCAAATACAGGTAGCCTTCCAAATTAGTTTCAACTTGGATATGCTATTTATTTATAATCTTATCTCAAAATTTTTTTACCTGGTTTTGAAGCTGTAATGCCAGTGCTTTTTGCTCTTCAATCTGGCGCCATCTTTCCCGTGCTCGAGAATCATAAACACTAGTTCTAGGAAGTGAAAAGAAATGTGACACAAATACAGACCACTTGCTTAACATCAGCCCATTGTTGATGTACAGTGAGCATTAAATATAAAACCCTTATATACAAAGTCTAAAATCCTTTCACTAACTTATCATTATGCTTATATTTTAAAACAGAATGAAACCACATTGTTATCAAAATTTCCTATTGTTTTTAGTGAAATAATAAAAATTATTAGTTTGTTGCCAAATGTGAACAGGTGACTCTTGTGGATATCTGTAAATATATAGTCCTTTTTTTTTAACATGCTCCTAAGATTATGAGAAAATTAAGCTTTATTTTGCAAATCCAAAAATGAGACTGAATCCCAAAGGAGAAAATAATACAGAATATCATTGAGGTTGTAATTCAAATATTGTATTTATGAACCAAAAGGAAAAATATGGGTTTATTTTTTTTTTCTTTAAAAAAAAAAAAAATCAAGACCAAGGGGTTTAGATAACTTGAGTGAGTTCTTAAAACTGCAGACTAAAAGCTTTTAGTGATTTTGCAAACTCCAGAAATAGAAATTAGTCAATAAATTAGTTGTATCCATGTAAAAATAAGGGCACTTATTTTCCTTTCTATATAATTGCTAATTTTGAAATATTTTCTCAATTCAATTAGCTTCAACAATAAATTTAATAAACTTGAGCATAGAAATGTCCTAACACCAACAGAATTAAAAAACCCACTAACTTTTAAGTTGTTTTTTAAATAGCTATAAACAGGGAGTTTTTACTGACTAAACACAGGTAGGATCATTGGCTAATTGATTTCTCCTAACTAAAATTAGGAAGTGATAGAGAAGAAAAAAATGATACCAAAAATAATAACTTACAATTCTTTGATCCACAACTCTGCCTGGAAAAAAGTAGGACTATGGGTGGGAAAAGAAAAATGTGAGCAGGAGGCTTATGAGAAAATTCAAATAACATCAACAAGAAAACCAATCACTTAAATAATTTACAAGAATACTTTACAAGTACAAAATAAATACAAAGACCTAAATTACATAAAACTGCAATTGGGAACAAAAGAAATACAAATAAGTCATTTGCATATATACATATTAGGTTTTTTCCCATAATAAAAAACACTTTATTGACTGCATTATAATTGATTCTTACAGAATGCATTCCTTGATTTCTGTCAAGTTCTGTATCCACAGCAACCTTGTGGTGGCAACTGACAAATGAGTATAGGTCCAACATGCATGGTGGTTGACAGTTTCATTTATGTCAAGAAGTAAGATGAAAGTAACAAGGACACATGTCATAACTTCACTTAAGTCATTTGTCAATAATGTGAGCAGCTGCTTTGTTAATCAGATAATAGTTAATTCCTGAAGAATTTATCTTCAGTCTTTTGTACTATTCACAATGTAATCACTGCAGACGTCACACAATTTTAATCAGAGTTATTGACAGTTTCTCCATCACTTCCTTACGACTAGTCCATCAACAAAATAATAAATCAAGCCCTGATTTGTGGTGTGGGAATTTTCTGTGACATAATTGCTCCCACCATGGCCTACTTCAACCTACCAACATGACATCATTCTACAGTACTTCCACCACACAGATACGATACATGTCAATAACCTTAAGAACACAGATAATAGTAAAATGAGTAGGAAATGATGACTTTTGAATATTTATTACTTTTGTTTTCAATATAATTTATATAACTGTATGCTTATGTAATTTAATTATGAATAGAGGCTGTGCTTAATAACTAGCTCTCAAAATTCCTGAAAATTTAACAATTACCTCTTATGAGCTGCTGAGAGCTGGCTCCAATCCACTACTGAATAGGGGTGAGTTTTCTGAACTTGCAGATAGGAGACTGGGTTATGTCCCTGCTTTTATGCAGGAAAACCGATATGATATTCAGGTACATTTTCATATTTTCATAAAATCCAGCTCTTCTAAGCAAGAACATAGCAGTAACATGCTTGACACATGTGTCCTGCCACTGGGCATCACAGTGAAGACAATTCCTAAACAGATGAGGTCAGATCCAAAAGAACAGGTTTCCCATCATGTCTGAGAAACTCTTTATGACTCATGTTCTTAGTTCAGCTCTGGGTTTTGCATCAGCAGATGTTCTGACATGCAAAGCTACCTCTCTTGTGTTGCATCTTACTGATTTCAGCAAAACTGTTTTTGTATTTGGACACTCTCTGGTCAAGAAACCCTTCTGAATACAATTGTCATGTTATTGTTTCTTACTTTTCTATTTGCTTCTACACCTGTATTATAGTTAAAAAGATGACCCAAAGTTCAGCAGAGAAATTAAATTTAACATAGCTCCTTACTTGCATGAGATCAACATTATGTGAAAGAGTACATCACTTGTCAAGATAATACATTAAGCTAGAGTATTACTCTTCCCAAATGGTTCAGAATGACAGATTTATCAATAATTTAATAAAATCTTATGGGTTTTTAGACTTCTTGTCAGTCTAATTAAATCAAAATATATTCAAACAACCAACAAACAAAAGAGAAACAAACTCATAGATACAGAAAACAAACTGATGGTTGCCAGGTGAGGGGGGGAGTTAGGGGGCTGGGCGAAAAGGTGAAGGGATTAAGAAGTAAAAATTGGGCCCGGCTGGTGTGGCTCAGTGGTTGAGCGTCCACCCAAGAACCAGGAGGTCACAATTCAATTCCCAGCCAGTGCACATGCCCAGGGTTTCGGGCTTGATCTCCAGTAGGGGGCGTGCAGGAGGCAGCCGATCAATGATTCTCTCTCATCACCGATGTTTCTATCCCTCTCTCCCTCTCCCTTCCTCTCTCTGAAATCAACAAAAAACATTCAAAAAAAAAAAAGCAAATTGGCAATTACAATTACAAAACAGTCATGGGATTTAAAGTACAGCACAGGGAATATAGTCAATAATATTGTAATAACTATGTGTGGTATCAAGGGGGTACTAGACTTATCAGGGGGAATCACTTCCTAGATGATATAAATGTCTAACCACTATGCGTACCCCTAAAACTAATATAATACTGAATGTCAACCATAACTGGGAGGAAAAAGCAGCTGGACATTAAAAAAAAAAGTGCACTTGGAACAACCATCAAATCAAAGTAGATACTGAAAATCCCCACCCACAGGACAGTCCATATCAAACAGCTGACGAGTCAATGAATAAACCAAAACAAAGGATCAGCAGCACAGCTCCACTCCAAAGATGAGAAATCAATTCAGTTCTTGCTGACAACCTATGTGCAAAATGCTTAGCAGAGTCGCAGGCATATTAACTGTATGTCCCAAAGCCTTTTGCTCTTCTCAAACTTCCTCACCTCCTTGCCAACCCCTGACTGAAGGATCTCTCGCAGAAACAAATGGAAGAGTGAACTCTTTTCCAAAGAAAACTTCTAGATACGCAGAACAAGTAAACAGAGCATCAAGTTGGGAATTGAGAGGCCTGAAACTCCTGGAGCTGATCCTGATTAGGTTTTGTAACTTTGCGCAAGTCATTTCTATGAGACAGTTTTAGGATTTGTGAACTCTGGACATTAGAGTCCCTTTCAGTTCTTAAATCTCTACAATCTGCCCTAGTGAAGGCAAGAAAAAGGGCTCAGAGGGTATGCCTTGCTCCTTAGCCTAACTCATGAGAATTAGTATTCCTAATTTTGGCAATGACAACGCTATTCTATTGCCTCCCCACCATCACTGAGGTTAATAAAGGGAGAGCATAAGAGAAGGTGGCTTATTCCCTTGGGACAGTGAACAACTGACATAACAACTAACACAGAAAGCCACAGAATCTGTGGTAGCAGTGAAGGGCTAGTGTATGATACTAAAAATATGAGAACACATTTATTGCACAATATAAAGAGATGACAAGAACCACCCAGAATTGCATAGTATTGGGTCAGGCTATTCAAAATATGTCTACTTCCCATATTAGAATATAAGCTCGATGAGGACAAAATTCGTCTTTTGAATTTACTATTGTGTCCTCTGGACCAAGAATAGTCCCTGGCACACAGCAGGCACTCAATATTTACTGAATAACTGAAAATGTAAGACAAGTACTTCTCTTTAATGGACTGAGGTACCTTCTGGCTTAGGAAAGCAAAATGTGGGGGAAAAACAAAATCTGTTTGCTTTTCTCATATAATTGAAGCATACAGTAATCATAGCTACAACTATTTACTGAACACCTACTAAGTGCTTTATGTGTAAAACTCTGCTCTAGGTGTACTACACATTAGTTAAGTCTCATGATAATCCTTATATTAATTAAACCTCAATAATACACATTAAGGAATTATTACTCATACTATACAGAAAAGGAAATTGAGGCCCAGAAGGATCATTCGTCTTGAAAGAGCCAGGATTAGAAACTATGTCCGTCCAATTCTAACACCAGTGCTTTTTCTATTATTGTAAAGTGTCTTTTAATAAACCAAAGCATTAAACCAAAAAGAAAGTGATGAGTACCTGAGCTACTTGAGAGCACAGCAGGCTTTCCAGGAAATTCATTTATTTAACAAAGATTTATTTACTAAGTACCCATATCATGTACCAGGCATTATGATTATTGGCCCTGAGTGATAAATGCAAAGGTGTTAGTAGCTAACAAGATACAGGGATAGAAGTGCTTGAGAAAAAGATTAATGCTACCTGAAGAAGTCAGAGAAACAATAACACCCAAGTCAAGTTTTAAAAAGCAAAATAAGAGTTTAGCAAGTGAACAAGGAAAGGGAATTCCAGCAGAATGTACAACAGCACAGAGGCATGAAATGGCATGGCATATTCTGGGANCTTAGCAAGTGAACAAGGAAAGGGAATTCCAGCAGAAATATCAGAATGTACAACAGCACAGAGGCATGAAATGGCATGGCATATTCTGGGAAATAAGGGCAAATCTTCATTGCTGGTAGGAGACTAAGTACGAAGAACCAATCAATCAAGGCTGTAAGAGTAACGTTACTCCAATTTCCATAAACAGCATTATTCAATAAGTTTTAACCAATATACCATTTCTCCTCCCATCTGATTGTTCAGTTATCACTAGGAAAAATCCTCCATAAAGGAAAGGCAGACTTAATGAAGAACTATTACAGACCTGAAAGCACTCTTTAAATGAGATCAACCTTTTCCCAAGAAAGAATACCTACTTTTGTGTAGTACCTGTGGAAAACTTTTATAAGTACTTTATCTGTAAGTTAATCTTTACAACAATTCAAGAGTAAGGTATTAATATTGACATTTTATTGATAAGGAAACTAAAATTAAGAAGAGTAACTTGTCCAAAGTTATGTGAAGCCTGGAAAAGACAAGAACAGAGCCCAGATCTGACTCTTAAAAAAGAATCCAAACTGTAAAGTCTCTCTGAGAAACTGTTAACATTTTTAAAAAAATATCTAAGTTTAGAACATAGAGGGGAGCTGCACAGAATTAGGGGGACTGAGATGAGAAAAAATAACATTTTATTATCCCTAATCTCCTCAATGGAAAACTGATGGTATTACCACTCTAGCAATTAAACTGCTAAGGCCATATATGGCAAAGACATAGTAATCTAAGTAATAACCTATTAGATTACAGAGGAAGAAGTATTGGATAACTCCCTGAGGAGTAGAGTCTCATATAGATCACACCTGAATTGAGACTTAAGAGATAAGAAAGCAACTACTGCCAGATAGACAAGTTGAAGTAGGAAGAACACACCAGCAGAAAGAATACTGAATGTGAAGAAAATATGTATCATATTACAGTTCAGCATTTAATAAACACATAAAAGTGTCTCATATTTCCATATGGCTCCTTTTCTCACCTCTATCATGTCTCTCAACTGTCACCTTATCAGAGACTTGCCATGACCATCCTAGATAAATAGGACCCCCCGCCCCCTGCGCCATCTATATATTACCCTACTTTATTTTTCTTTCACAGCACTTATCACCACCAGGCATATATGTTCATTTGTTTATTTGCTCACTATTTGTCCCCCCCCTCCCCTCCTCCTTACACCCCTTACAGCTAGAAAGCAAGCTCCTCTTTTTTCTTATTAAACGCAAATTTTACTAGTGTACTTTAACGCAAAAATACTGGGTAAGCTGTATAATATAATCACCATATGACTATCACTTTGAATTAGTATTGCAGATACTTCTAACTACTTATTTTCAGAGTATGTTCCAATATTTTAATTATGTTCAGTTAAGTGCACCTGAATGTTTGCAGCACTCTGCATTATTTATATTAGACAAAAGCAGCCTAAATCAACTTGCTCTGGCATTCCATAATTTGTGCTTGTATATCTCTAAAATAGATTTATACATAGCTATCATATGGTTACTCTTTAGCATTTATACATATGCTAAAATTTTAAAATTTTATCTGAATTTGACTTTAATGTACCCCAAAGTAAAGTTTATTGGTTTCTTTATACTAGGAAGTGTCTTATCTGATTATTCATATTCAATATTTGCAGATTACTAACTGGAGCTACACACTCTTCAATTAAATACAAGTGTGTAGATTTCAAGTCACCCATCCTAACTCCTGGTTCACTCCACCCCTGTTGCATTCCTGGAAATACTCTAGATGTGGATGAATCAAATTCTCTGGCCCTAAAGGATAATGAGCAAGGGAAAACTGTATCAACTTAGAACAATACCAGGAATGTAAACTGATGGAGAGAAGAGATTTCATTTTGTTCACTGCTTTTATCCCAATGTCTGTACAAGCAACTGGCACACAGCAGGCTATTAATAAGTACTTGTTACAGGAAAGAATGTGTGCTAGAAAGTGAGACTTATGAAGAAAGTGCTTTGTATACCACACTAAGAAGTTTGGGCTTGATTCTTTGTCTGATAAGCCACCTTGAGGGAGTTTAATGAATGACCAGCTATGCATTTTAGATCACTCTGGTTGCAGAATGAAAGAGGGACTAAAGAATAATGCAAAGAATAGATTAGAAAATATGGTGGAAGATGGAATGAGGAACAAAATGGAAGTTGGTGAAAGGAAGACCACTTAGAAAGTCATAGAAATAATTCAAACAACACATCACAGAGGTCTGAACTGAGGCAGTTTTAGTTTTATATTATGTAATTTGCAGTAAAGAAACTGTAATAAAGAGGGGGAAAATATCTTAATAATGTCTTTTTTCCAAAATTTACCTGGGAGCTGGAGTCTGGGAATCTTGCACTTTGAGTAAAATCACAGAGTCTGATCCTAAACAACAAACACAAGAGCATATCATTACTGATAAAACTCCAGAGTTATACATTCTAGATGCCTGTGGTTCCCATACTCTGTTATATCCTATTCCCATAAAAACAACAAAGCATAAAGATAAAGATAAAAATAAAGATAGCCCGGCCAGGCATGGCTCAGCGGTTGAACATTGACCTGGGATCCAGTAGATCGTGGTTTGATTCCCAGTCAGGGCATATGCCTGGGCTCCAGGCTCCATCCCCAGTCGGGGGCATGCAGGAAGCAGCCAATCAATGACTCTCTCATCNGGTCAGGGCATATGCCTGGGCTCCAGGCTCCATCTCCAGTCGGGGGCATGCAGGAAGCAGCCAATCAATGACTCTCTCATCACTGATGTTTCTATCTCTCCCTCTCCCTTCCTCTCTCTGAAATCAATAAAGATATATATATATTTTTTTAAATTAAATTTACAAAGATAAAGTGGAAGAGAGAGAAAGGCAGGTCCATTTTCACTGAGCCAAGAATAGGGCTTAGTGAAGAGCTTGCCCCACAAATAAAGCAGTCACTCTGAAATGTAAGTAAATATGGCTTCAGCCACTACTCCTGGGGTGTGCTTGTTCCCTGTGCTTCCTTTCTGTTCCTGGGGAACAAGCATGCCAGGATATCTCAAAAGTCTTTAGCTCATGAACTACCATGAGACTGAATAAGATGAAAGAGCAAAGGGGAGGGGGAGAGGGAGGGAAAACAGAAAGAACCAGCTAGAGAAGTAGCAGAGACAAAAAGTACAAATTCTATCACTCTCATTTTTTTGTGTGTTGATAAAGGCAAGAATCATATCCTTCTAAAGCACTACGATTAAAACCTTATTTAGAATATTTATTAAATAGAACAAGGAAAGTAACTGAACAGTTCGATATAATACATTTGTCCCAGTTTAGTTGTATCTAAGCATTTGCCATATGATGTATGTTTCTGAGGTTAAAGGCTAAAAAATGATAGTTCTCATATCACCTCACAAAATTCAATACAAGTTTTCATGAATATGTGTAGCTACATAATGATGCTCCCAACAATTTTAATCTCCCAATGAGAATTTTAAGAAAGTGAGGAATAGATTTAAAAAAAAAAAATCAAATGACTCAGGAAGGAGAGCCTTAGAGATGGATCTATCAAAAGATTCCTAATATCTAATCACTTAACCTAAAACTTGTTTTAAGTTACATACCTAAATGCATGCCATAAATACACACATAACACATACCTAAAAAGGGGGAAACTAAACAAAGAAAAAATTATCATAGCAAAACCTTAATTAACTAGAATGCTAAGAGACAGAATATTTTCATTAGCTGAAAGTTAAGCAGAAAACTCATTTTGTTTCCAAAACTTGCTGACAACCATTCTAAAATATATAAATATATACAGGTTTATAAGTATTACCTGATTAAGAACTTTTACTTCAATATTTAATTGATGTTCTAAAGCTCCTAGAACATCAAAGGACAGATGACACTTCAACAACATGGGTTTGAACTGCGCAGGTCTATTATATGTGGGTTTTTTCCAAAAAATACTTTAAGTATTTGTATTTTTTCTTCCTTATGATTTTCTTACTAATGTTTTTTTCTTTAGCTTACTTTATTGTAAGAATACAGTATATAATACATAAAACATGCAAAATATGTGTTAATTGACTGTTTATATAATTGGTAAGGCTCCTGGTCAACAATAGTCTATTAGCAGCTAAGTTTTTGGGGGAGTTAAAAGTCATATATATAGATTTTCGATTACATGGGGTAGGGGTGGTCAGTGCACCCTAACCCCCACACTGTTCAAGAGTCAATTGTACTTAATCTTCATTGTAAAGTACTAGAAACAGAGAGAGTACTTAAGTCAAATACTATATAAAATCATTTGCTACTCCATGTAAGAAAAAAGTTACTTATAGGTTTACTCATAGCATGGCTAAATGAATTATATGTACTTAAGGTATTTATATGTTATTTAAGTTACATGTGCGTTACAACCTTGTGTTATAATTCACAAACATCCAATAAACTGGCTATTAGGAAATGTAGTTAAATTATATTGAAAAGATAGTATACGATATCATTTTTACCTTTAGATTGTGTATTTGAAGCAGAAACGTTATCTGGCTGATGTGGAAGAGAGTGGTGATGTTGGAGCTGATGGAGAGGATCAGAATCTTTGGATCTAAATGAAATATCTGGAGTATAAGATGATAAGGAATATCCACTGTGAGACAGTTGTTCCTGGGTAGTTAAAATGCTGGCAGATCCAGATGATGACGTATCAGAGCCAATAATCTGAGCTGCATAAGAGTTTCCATTTTTAAACAGTGAGTCTTGCAAAGTATTCCTACTGGAACTAAGACATCGAGATCTGGCAAAAGAAGAATATATTTAAATTATCATATAACACACGTAGAATTAAATTCATTTGAAGTATGTTTCATGACTCACAGGTGTGTGGTGGGTTTGGCTACAGAAAACTGTTTCCCAGTGACCATCTGTAGCAGCTGCCTGTAAATCTCTCTTTCTTCTTCTTGAACTGTCTATAAAAGAAAAAAAAATCTTAAGCACATCCAATGAGGCAAGTATTTCCCAAAGTAGCATCTAGATTCCCAAAAGCCCTGCCAAAGCTCAGGCAGAGTCTTCAGGGTAGTTAAGAACTGTGGTTCATTAAGGATATTCTAGGAAATTATAAAGTATATATAAGAAGAGTTTAGTGAAGTAAATACTAGATAGTATATTTTAGAAAATTATGGGGCATATATGTAAATAACAGTGCAGAGGAGATATAGGATATGAAACCAGAAGGCCAGCAGGCATCCATTTCTAAGTCAACTGATAGAGCCCCAGGAATAAAACATTTGAGGACCTCTAAATTAAGATTCCAACAAAATCCTTGATTTTTATACCTGCTAGAAAAATTGCAAGGAAGTAACCAGAACAGTCAAGATCTCTTGCTAACAGTTTTCTATTCTATTTTTAAGAGCGTATTTTCCAGAGATGGTTTTCATCTCCAACGCATATTTATCTTTCTTAACTCCCAATACTGGACTTAGGGGAAAGCACATGCTCCATAATATTCATTCATTGACTTTAATACTGACTATGCTCCAGTCACTAGAAATACTGCACTGAATAAAATAAAGTTCCTGCTCTTGTGGAGCTTACATTACAGTTAAAGGACTGAAAAACAAAAAACTGCCCTGGCATGTTGCTCAGTGGCTAGTGTTGGCCTATGCACCAAAGGGTCACAGGTTCAATTCCCGGTCAAGGGCACGTACCTGGGTTGCAGGTTCGCACCCTGGCCTTGGCCGGTGCTCGTGAAGCAGGCAACCAAACGATGTCTCTCTCTCACATCGATGTTTCTCTCTCTCTCTCTCACTCTC